AGAACGCGTCGGTGATGGGGCGCCACAACACCGCCGGCCGTCGCCTGTGATGGGGCGTCCCCGGGCGGACTCTGCACTACGTCCTCGATTACCTTGAGGAAGGCAACCAGCCGCCACTCCAGTACCCGGCGGCCCCGGCACCTATCCCTCGCCGGAGCGGTGGCATTTGGATGCCGAGGCGCATGGCGGGTGGCTCGTCCTCCTCCCCCTCCTCCTCCTCCCGCTCCACCAGTTCGACGGTGCTCGCCAGCGTCAAGGCCGAGTGTGTGAAGACGTCGCTCGGGCGGATCCCTCGTCATCAACGAGGGCGGACATGGCTCCTCCTCCTCCCGCCTCGTGAAGCTGAAGACGGAGCCGGGGCTCGTCGTCGTGAAGAATAAGTACGACGACATGGCCGCCGCCGACAAGGCCACCCTCAAGTGGGAGCGCGAGGACTACATTCGGCTGGAGACAGAACGCCAGCGTCGCGCCCTCGAGGAGATCACCACTCGGCGCCGCGGTCGCAATGGGGGCGATGTCGTCATCCTCGAGAACAGTGACAACGATGCACCACCGCTGCCCACCAAACTGGTCCGCCAAGGTGACCCAGGGCAGGGTGCAATAAGGACGGCAGCGGCGTGAAGGAGGAGGACGGCGGCGGCGGCGACGATGGCGACTACAGCGCCTTCGACGCGCTCGTCGACCTGAAGGAGGGGCGGCGTACGGCGGCGCAGTAGTTGTAGTTTATGTTTTGTAAGTTTTTAAATTATGTTTTGTAAGTTTTATGTACAAATATGAATGAAATCTCCGAGATTGGCCGAATTTTGGCCGAGTTTACTTTTCAAAAAACGGCGTATGGGATGGGCTTGGGGCGGCGGTTGGGAAACTGACCGCCCCCATGCCGATATTTTCGCTGGCGCGCCCCCCAGCCGACGCTTTTTCAAACCCCTGGGAGGCCGAACGGCTGGAGATGTTCTTACCTCTGGAACTCCCATCTTCTTCATCGGCTGAGGGGAAGCAGCTATTCTCAGTTCGAGCTCAAATGAGCCCGCATGAACAATAAAATCATATTTTCTTAAAAAGGAATAAAAAATCTGATTTTTTTGTGTGCAACAGTGACAAAAGTTCTACTCCCTTCATTTCCTAAATATTTGTCTTTTTAGAGATTTTAAATGGACTACCACATATAGATGTATATAGATATATTTAGAGTGTAGATTCACTTATTTTGCTTTGTATGTAGTCATTTGTTGAAATCTCTAGAAATATTTAGGAATGAAGGGAGTAAGTGCTTGCAAAATTTCATCATGAAATCATATTTGTGGAAGTGGTGGCAAAATAAAATCGATGCTCCAAAAATACTATTGTCAAAAGCATTCTGGAGTGCTGATTTTGTATTTTTTGCTGCCACTTACATGAATGTCATTTCAAAGTAAGAATTTGCATGCTCTTAAAACATTTCCTGAAGTTTACCACACAAAAATTTCAGATTTTTTGATTTTTTTTTTTGAATTTACTGTTCATGCAAGCTCATTTGAGCTCGTGAGCAGTTGTTCCGTTATGAAGGGTCATATCTGGTGGGCGGCCAGGTTGGGCATTCGGTTCCTTGAACTGATCGGTTCAGTGCTTCGGGTAATTGAGAAATTCGGTTTGCTGAAATTGTTGAATATTGGTTTTCCTTCAAAGGTAACAACCGCGATTATGGTCCGCCAGAACATCGGTTTGGTCCGTGTAAGAACGAGCAAAGCTGATATGCAAGAAATCAATGATGAAATTTGATGCTCCGTGCGCTCCGTGAAGTTACTGCTTGGCCGCCATCAGAGATTTTCTTTTTTGAGCATAGCCTCCATCATAGATACCCTTGCTTTGCCATCGTCGACCCATGCCGCTTTGGTCATCAGCTTTGGAGTTTCCTAATATTATTGGATGGTTGAAATTACAAGTATCGAACCTGCAGCGATGATTTTTATATTGGCGCAAATACATGTGTATAAAAAATATATCAAATCTATGAACCATTTTTAAAATATATGAATTTAATTAGAAAATCAATATTCTTTGCACATGATTTTTTTCTAAATACACCATGATTAACATTATTTATCTAGTACATGAACATATTTCAATTCTAGTGAATAAAAATTTCTTATTTTTTAAATTAATTTGTTAATCAAAAACTTCTGTAGTAGAAAAAAATATGATTTCAAGAGCGGACTATATTGTAACCGAGGTTTGTGATGGTGGCACAATGGTATCAAATAGGTAGGTGCACTATGGCTGCATCTACATGCAATGCTTGCTTCCTGTGGAGTGTCTCTGAGTTGTTCATGCAATTGTGTTTTTTTTCGATAATGAAAATACATTAATACCAAGAAGCTATCAATTACACCCGGTCTCTGCATCATCATAATGTCAAGATAGACATCAAGGATGCAGACATGCAAAAAAAAAAAAGAAGAAAAAAACCCCGCCAAACTAAGCAGTGAAGCAACAGGAACTACCACCACCGATGGCCACACCCGGACTACAAAAAAGGTTCTCCAAGAGTGACGCCTTCGGGGAGGAAACAATCCACAAACACCGTCGTCGGCTGATAAGATCATGGTTTTTCATCCTAAAGGAAGTCTCAATAAGATCCAGACAATGCCTTCAACAAGGAGACAAATAGAGATCCGCCATTTCCACATACAACCAGTAAAGGTTAGACCTAGGGTTTTCACCCGTGAAATCAAGACTTGATGCCCAAAGAACATCACCAAGAATGAAGTCCTCTGCCGCCCCTGCTTGACAAGCCTGCTGCGAAATGACAATCATTCGACTCATGGTCTTCACCACATCCAAAACTTCACCACTGCCATCACTTGAAATCTCGAACTCGACATGAGCCATTGAGATCCGCTAGTCACATGCAATTGTTTCTAGTTACAAATGATGAAAGGCTGAACATCATTTATTTATAAAGAATTAACCAGCGAAAAACCAATGGAACCCAGCCCATAAACAATCCAAATAACTCGATGCACCACAAGTCTTGAATTCAAGGGAGCTTAATAACTTTACAGATACATGGCTTAGGCCTTTTCACAAAAAGGAAGAAAAAAATAAAATACCAAAACTAGTAACAAAATCCTGAAATTTTTAGACATAGAAATGGAAGACTCTTCTAGGTATTTACCACTATTCGCACTCAGATGATGTCCGAGGAGCTCTACCAAGAAAAAAAGAAAAGAAAATAGAAGCTCAAACTTTTGTTGCGACTTTGTACATTTTGGAGCTTCGATTTTCATATTTTGGTATCAAGCTCCTCGAGTGTCACCTCAATGCGAAAATTTGCAAGAGCTTATAAAGTCTCTCATCTTTGACTATAGATTTTTGGAAAAGTCAAACATTGCAAACTTTAACCAAGTTTATAGAGAAAACTATTTATATCTACAATACTAAATATATAAAATATGAAACTACATCTTATGATGAATCTAATGATATATATGTGTCTAGATGTAAATGTTTTTCTTCTTAAACTTGGTCAAAATTTATGAGGTTTGACCAGTGGCGGAGACAAGCCTAGGACAGCTGGGGCTATAGCCCTACCACCTAGTGATAATATCCTTTGTAATTGCGTATGGAAAATCACTAAAATGCATCACCTCAAGATAGCTTAGCCCTAGGTATAACCTCGTGCTAGCTTCGCCACTGGGTTTGACTTTAAAAAAATATGCACTACATATGGAATGGACAGAGTATTTGTTTGAATTTACTCTTCACATAGGTGTAGATGCATCAGAGCAGCAAAACGCCACTCTGTGCCAGAAATTCGAGGACCATATACGTTTTCTCAATAAAAGGAGGTTTCTCTCTTCTCTCTCCTATTTTCATTAAAAGAAGGATACCAACGTGTGGGTGTTAAGGAATCTGGCCACACGTTTTATGTGGTGTCTAAGAGGACCAGCCCACACGTTTATGTATGGGCAAAACAACTAGCGTCCACCCGTCTTTTTTTTTCCTCGCGGTCCCCCTCACACGCCTACGTGTGGGCAAAATAGAGAACGTCCACACTACCTCTCTCAGCCACTTACCTCACGGTCCGCACGTCCCGCGTGACAGTCACCACGCATCCCCGCAGTTGCCATGGTCCGGACCCTCTTCAATGTCAATTTAACTGCAGTTGCCATGTCGCTGAACTACAGTTGCCATGTCGGACAACTATAGTTGCCATGATTGCTCAACTGCAGTTGCCATGTATGGTCTGGTCTACTACAGTTGCCATGATTTCAAAATTTTAGGAGTTGACACCTACTAACACTAGGCAGTTGCCATGTAGCACTACAAAAAAGACATGGCAAAAAACATGTTCGGGTAAAGAGAGAGTTGCCATGTGCTCACAAGCACGCTAGGGGCAGTTGCCATGTAAAAGAAAGAGTTGTCATCTGCTTACGTGCACGCTAGGGCAGTTGCCATGTACAATGCAAAAACACATGGCAACTCGGATAAAAGAGAGTTGCTATCTGCTTGCAAGCAAAGTTAGGGCAGTTGCCATATACCCTGCAAAAACACATGGCAACTGACAACTTTGGATGTGGGCGAGGAGACGGTCGTGTGGGCGAAGTGATAAACGCCCACACACCAGCCCCTCTGCGTGCGTGAAAACTGGTGTGCGGGCAAATTGCTAAACACCTACACACCAGCCCCCCTGTGGTGAAAAAGAACGTGTGTGCGACCGGATAAATGCCCACACACCAGCCCAGTCCTACGTGGCACATAAAAACTGCTAGAACGCGGCAATATTCGTGCAGAATTGGTTGGACGAGGATCTATTGTGTGGGCGAGTTGGCAGACGCCCACACGGGTGGGCATTAATCTTTTTCGTAAAAGAAACCAATGTTGAAAGCATACATGCATAGACTTGTTTCCCATTTTACGGACGCATGTAACGCAAAGTAGATCGACTTGCAGGCTTGCAGCTAGCTGCTGTGCTGTGATCACAGAATTTATTCTATCGAGTAGCCTTTGATGGATCGATATCAGATCCTGTAGTGGTCAAGCATGGAGGTGCCATCGAGAGCCTTGTCCCTGTAGTGGACGATCAAATCCTCCACTGTGGCGCTCCTGTACCGCGGAGGACTCGCGGCGCCGTCGCCGATGAGGATGGGGGCGCACACCCTGGCAGCTGCTGCCGCGCCATGCGGCCGGAAAAAGCAGGCCACGGAGACTCGAGGCCCCACGCTCTTGGAGAGGACACGGTGCTCCACGCTCCTGAACCTGTCGTTGGAGAGCAGCTGAAGGAAGTCGCCGACGTTGACGGTGAACGCGCCGGGCTCGGCGGGCACGTCGACCCAGACCGGCTGATCATCCCGCCGGAGCCGGTGGAGCACCTGGAGGCCGCCAACGCTATCCTGGAGGAGCACCGTCAGGAAAGACGGGTCGGTGTGCCTGGACGTGCCCATGGTGAGCTGCGGCTGCGGCGACGCCGGGTAGTAGTGGCCGACGACGCTCAGCCCCTCAAGGCAGCCGGCTTCGTGCTGCTCCAGGAACCCACGGTGGAGGCCCAGGGCCTCCGACAGCAGCTCGAAAAGCGTGCCGCCGAGCCTCTGCACCTCCCTCGTGAACTCCACCGCGATGCCTCTGCACGCCGGCGGGATCTCCTCGGGCGACGGCCCCGTCGGCGCCATGTCCAGGTACAGCGTGTCTCGCCAGATGGCCGCCGGCGACCGGAACAGGTCGAAGTTGCTGTGGTACCTCACGCGGCTCTGCCCGTCCCTCGAGTAGTAGGGGCGCCTCGCCTCCGCCGGCTCCTCGTTGAAGCTCCGCAGGGCCGCGAGCATCTCCGACATGACCGTCCCCGGCACGCCGTGGTTCACCACCTGGAAGAAGCCCACGGTCTTAACGGCTGCCTTCACCTCGGCCACCAGCTCGGCCCGCCTGGACGACCCCGTCGTCACTCCAGCAAGGTCTATGACTGGGATCGCGAAGCGGTCTTCGTCGTGGGCGCGTCGTGGGCGCGCGCGTCGTGGGCGGGTGGCGGAAGATGGCCGGGACGGTGGTGATGCCTGCGTCGATGAGTCCTTTGACGCCGGCCTTGGTGTCGTCGAAGGCCTTGAGGTCGCGGAGGCGACCGCAGGCGGAGGCCATTGGAGGCTGGAGCGTGACGGCGTGAGCAAAAGAGGTGAACAGCTGCTGCCTGCTGGGGTGTACAGTGTGCTGCACCCTTTGGAGTACAAGCGTATAAAACGCAGCGTCCATTGCTAGGGTTGTTGGATCCGAGCGACCGGCATCATGACAAGCCATTAAGGTCCAGTTTTTTTTGCTGATTCTTCTAGAATTCAAGAACCGAACCTTCACTCAACTTTTCCTGGAATCATAAACCTATATTTTTTTGACGATTCTAGTTGTTTTCATAGTAACTACTTCCTCTGTTCCATAATATAAGAGCATCTTTTGACACTACATTAGTATAAAAAATGCTCTTATACTATAAGACAAAGGGAGTAGCTAGGATTGTCAAAAAATTACATGGGTTCAAAATTCTAAGAGAAGTTGGAGGAGGTCCGAGTATCAAGATTCTGAAAGAATCACCCAAAGAACTAGGCCTAATTAAATTTGTAAGGGGATTGAATGTCCTCCGACGCTATGCAACCACCACCGCCTTTGCCCTACATCTATACTTTTTGAATCTTCTAATGGTTGTTTTTGGAGAATGTTTCCCTTCAGCAGCCGACTGATCATGTGCAAGCGAATCTACGCTTCCGTGTACGTCGGATGCAGTCTTTATCAGACGGTCGAGAGTAACCTTTCCGTCTCCATGTTTCTGCAACTAATCCTTTGTTTCATGAAGGGGGTTTACAACTAGCCTTTTGTTACAAATTGAACGACATGGCTAGATCCCGCAGCGCACAGACTAGGGAGGGCAAAAGCGTCCAAGCCGAGCACCGCTACCTGTAGTTCATCGCCGGCTCGCCGCCGAGCGCATCCATGTCGGATCTCCGCCGCCAAACACCTCCCCGTCGACCAGATCAAAGGATCCGACAAGATCCGCCATGTCGGTCCTGGAGCGGCATCAACCTCGCCGCCATCCTGTAACCATCGACATTGGCAGCGGCCACAAATAGACGACACCACGTGCGTGCATCCACTACTAGCTCACGGCCCGCCGTCATTGTTTGCAAAAACACCCCCCAGACATGTTTCTGCAACAATGATGTTGTTACCGTTGTTGCAGAACAACAACAACAGCGAATGATGACTGTGCAAGTGTGCGAGTGTCTGGTGATGTTGTTGAAGAAAACGCGGCCGCGGGACATGTCGCAGTTTTTGCAATAAAGATTTTGTTGCAGAAAATTAGAGAAGAGGTTTTCTAATATGGTTCTTCTTACAGAAAATTAGAGAAGAGAAGGTTTTGCAGTAAGAGTCTTGTCGCAGAAAATTAGAAAATAAAAGGAACGATACATACTGCTCGCAAGGCAGTGGATCTTTTAAAAAGACCCGCCGGCCGATCAGCCGATGCATAGCACACCCTTCTTTTCTAGTAATCTCTTACTCCCTATGTCCCATAGTGTAAGACGTTATTTTAACCCTTGTCAAAAAAACGTCTTACATTATCGAAACAGAGAGTAGTTTATAATTTCAAGGATTTTAGTGGATCAAAGATCCACATTTTGAGTTGAATGACAGCCGTACTATTAAGAGGCACATGCAAAAAAAAACTTGGAATGAACTTCTTTCAAGATCCTAAAGAAATCCCAAAGACTACCACTCAACATTTCCTCCTTCGCTCAAAAAGAAAACTCTACACTTCCTCCATGTTTCACCTTTATCGTATCTCGAGTTACTTTCTGTTCCATGCTACCGAGCATGTAGCGAGAGAGTAATCTTGCTGAGCAAACCCATTTTTCTCCATGGCATATATTTAGTATTATAGATATAAGTAATTTTTTTTATAAACTTGGTCAACATACATGAAGCCTAATTTTTGATAAAACTAATGCATACTACATTAGGGAGAGGTTATTTGTGAGCTACCTGAAAAAACATTTCAATCGTTCACTTTCTTTCCCGACCATTAAATCCACATTCAACGTCAATGCATTTTCCTCCTGAAACTAAGTCATGTTGATCTCCTTCCTCATGCAGCCGCCCACGTACCTTACCCCATTAGGCTGCTTCCGCCTTCCGCTGCCGATGAGCGCTGCTATGCCGATCTCGTCTTCCCGCCCTTCCCCGCCTCCGTTTCTTGTCGCCGCCACGACCATCCCTCTGAGTACCCTCTCGATCTGCAACAACTCCGGTGACCCCCGCACAACACCCCCTCCCGACTCACGGCCGTCAAGGTTTAGACTCGCTATCGTCGACTCCGGTCGTCCATGGCCCGGCCTCACCGTGGCCGGCGCTTGTCGATGGTGCTCCTCACGCCATCCCCGCTTTAGGCCTCTAGCGAAGCACAAAGTGCCTGACGCATGGAAAAAATTCAGGTACCGCAAACTCGACTATATTATGAAATGGAAGGAGTATCGAGTTAATTCTTTTTTTAGCGGGGCATCGAGTTTTTTTTTTTGAGAGAACATCGGCCTTTATTGATCAAGCAACAAATTTACAAAGGGTCTCCCGGATACAGTCCAGAGCATAACGAGAAATAGAAAGGCTAGAAGAGCCCAAACTTTATCTAGCTAATACATGAGCTATCACATTACAGTGCCGACGAACATGATGGAAGGCCATAGAAGAGAGGCCATTAGCCAAAGACTTGACATCCTCAAGGACAGCTCCCACCATCGAGCGGTCCTTGGACGGAGACTGTAAACGCTGCACCACCAAGAGACAATCAGTCTTGAACATAACATCAGTAAAGCCCTCCTCCCGGACTAATCTGACAGCACGCCGAAGAGCCGTTGATTCAGCCAGCTCCGGTGATCGCACGCCCCTTAAAGGCTCAGAGCACGCAGCCACACAATTCCCCTCATGGTTGAGAATCACCACACCCACGCTGGAGGAGCCCAGATCCTCACAAATAGCGGCGTCAGAGAACGCAACCACAGTACCTTGCGGCGGCGGAGACCAAAGACGGACAGAAGAAGAGGTCTCACGCCTAGGAGCAAGTACAGGACTGAAAAGATGCTGAAAGATGAGGTCAATGTAAGCTTTGATTCTAGCAGCCATACTCCTAGGAGAAGGAGCAGTAGGTTCGTTCCTTGCCGCATTGCGAGCCTCCCATATGTGCCAAATGGAAACCGTTAGAACAGTGGCCTCCTGGTCAGAGCAGGACGACAGGAATTCAAACAACCATTGCTTTGGAGAGGAGAAGGATGACCCGCGAAGATGAACGTCGAAGAACTCCTTGACTCCGTCCCAGACAACCCTAGCATGTGGGCAAAACAGCAACGCGTGCTCGATACTTTCCAGCCGACCGCAGAAGAAATAGTCAGGTCTCGCCGGAACCTGTCGCCTCCGGAGCTGATCACCAGACGGCAGGCAGTCATGCACGAGGCGCCAAAGAGCAATCTTCATTTTATTGGGGGCTTTGACCCGCCACAGAGCCTTCCAAAACTTCTCATCTTCAGCCATACGAGAGTTCAAACCCAGCCCACTGTTACTCCTGCTCGAGATAAAAAGATCAGTTCTTGCTAACTTATACGCCGACTTGACAGTGTACTCTCCAAATCTTGTGAACGGCCAACGGAAAAAATCAGCACCGCCATTCCCGTTAACAGGAACGAGAAGAATGTCCTCTATCAGCCTTTCAGGAAAGAAAGCACGCACAGAGTCCTCATCCCACGCCCCTCTTTCTTCTTCAATAAGGCAATGCACTATCGCGGACGATGAGATCGGCGAGAGATGCTGAACCAATGCAGGTGGAGTGGACGGGATCCAATGATCCGATAGGATACGTGTGTGACGGCCATCACCAATCCTCCACTGAACCCCACACTTCAACAGATCGTGGCCGTGGATGATGCCCCTCCAAGTAGCTGAAGCAGTTCTTGGAACCGAGGCATGCCAGAAGTCGTTGTTGGGGAAGTATCGGCCCTTCAAAACGCGGGCACACGGTGAGTTGGGCTCGGTCAGCAACCTCCATCCCTGTTTGCCCAAGAGAGCTTGGTTGAATAGGGTCATGTCACGGAAACCCATGCCACCTAAGGATTTGGGAGTCGACAGCCATGCCCAGGACCTCCAGTGCATCTTTTCTTTCCATCCTCCCTGCCCCACCATTGATCAGACACAATCTGCCTAAACTTCTCACACGTAGCAACATGAAGACGGAAACAGCTCGAAACAAATGTTGGGATGGCCTGAGTGATGGATTTCAGCAAGGTTTCATTGCCAACTCTTGATAGCGGTCTGTCAGACCAACCAAAGAGATTTTGCCACGCTCTGTCAGTCAAAAACTTGAAAGTGCTTGTTGGAGAGTTACCAACCTTAGTTGGCATACCAAGATATGAATCATGAAAGGTCTCAATTTGGATACCCAAGAGGTTCTTAACGCTTTCTGGGCAGTTCCGGCCAAAGGAAATAGATGACTTCTCTTTGTTGATTGCTTGACCCGATCCTTCACAGTACATGTGCAACACTGATTCCAACGAATCCAGACTACGCTGATCACTCTTAGCAAAGAAGATGCTATCATCTGCAAATAGGAGGTGTGAGATAGGAGGGCCTTGTCGGCCGTTTTTTATCCCATGTAGCTCGCCACAACACTCCTTTTGAAACAGCAGACTAGACAAACCCTCGGTGCACAAGAGGAAGAGGTAGGGGCTTATTGGATACCCTTGCCGGATACCCCGCGAAGGTACCACATGATCAGTCAGCTCTCCATTAACCCTGACTGCATAGCGGACATTGG